AGTAAAAACAAAACAAACAAAAACATAGATAAATTATGCTACATTTTCTACATTTCAAGTTTTAAGATTCTTTGTCAGAAACACTAACATGTTCACAGATTAAGGGAGGACCTTTGACAAGTTACATCATTTCCACCTGTGCTGAACAACCTTTGAGATGCAGAGCTAGTTGCTGGAATGCAGAGGTATTCCCTAGCTAATCTGCTGATGTGGGGAAAGTTTACTGTGTGAACTTTCCACCACGAAAGAGGATCACACTCACTGTCTGCTGGTGGACTATTCACATAACTGCGCAGTTCAAATGATAACCTCTCTGCAGTTACCTCTATCTTGACACTAACTGGTCCCTTCAAAAAAAACTCCCGAGACTCTTCTTTGGCTTTTTAACAGCTCCCTGACTTGTTTGGTCTTCAGTAGATATATGAGGTGTTTCTGAAAAACCTGTGGCTGTGCTACCCTGGTGTGACACAAGATGCTCTAGTTCACTCATGACTTGAACTTTGATGGCTTCGCTTTCACTCTCACAGAAATATTCTGTATGAAACCGTGGATCGAGGAAAGAAGCCATGTTAACAAGCCTCTCTGTGACACTGTCTTTGTAGCTTTTGTTCATGTAATCAAGTATTGCTATTTTGATGTCTTTGGTCAGCTCAGTGTCACCTTCTTTTACTTTTAACATGTCATTGTTAAACATCTGAAGAACAGGCTTAACACATGAAATGGTTACATACTCTTCAGCAGAGAAAGCATCTGTAAACTCCAGGAGTGGACTCAATGCAGTGCTGACCAAGTCAAGCACTTCAATGTCTTGCCATGGCAACATGAGGTGCCTTGTGGTTTTATCAGCTGCTAAGACCTGTGTTATAGCTTTTTCGTGTTCCAGCAGCCGTTGGATCATTCTCTGCTTTGAACCCCAACGAGTGCAACATTCAGTTATGAGTTTGTGTTCTGGTAGGCCCAGTTCCTTTTGGGCAGCCTGCAGAGCTTGCTGGCACTTCCAGCTGTGGCCAAAAGCAGCAACAATCTTCTTTCCCACTCCAACTGCCCATTTGATCCTTGGGTCCTTCACACTTCTTTCTAAAAGACATACATTTAAAAGGAAACACAGTTCATTACTCAACAGCAATATCAATGCGGTGTGGAATGTGTGACATTTAAGTTTTATGTATAACACACAATTATTTACACACACACACACACACACATATACACACACATATTTATTAGGGGTGCAACGATACTCGTATCGATATTGAACCGTTCGATACAGTGC